CAGGCTGGCTTTCCGCTCTCCCCTCTTGGCTTGATCTGGGGCTCACAGCGGCTTCTCTGAGTTTTGATGCCTCATATCTATCTAGGATCAGCACAAGCATGTCCCCTCCCTCCTGCTGCTTTCTGGGGCTGTTTGAAAGCATTACGAAACAATCATTTTCATTTCTTTCTCGCTGAGACAGCAGGTTGCAGGCATCGCCCAGGTGTGATGCAGCTCTGTCACTGCCAGCCTGCGTGGCCTTCCTTTCAGCCCCGGCTGAGCCGCCAGAAAGCCATCAGACTCATTCTCTTGCCTCATCTTGCTGCTTTCGACACAGATACACGCTCTGAGCTTTAAGTCATTAACACTTGAAGGAGATTTCCTTTTTTAAGGGAATCGTTCTCTGGTACCTTTGGTCTCAGAGGGCTCCTGAGAATGCTGGGTGTCAGTAGGGAGGGGCGGGAGGGGAGGAGGGGTAGAAGGAAGGAATACTGAGAAGGGGCAAGGGTGTAAAGGGGATACAAACCCAAATCCATGGGCGTTCAGTTGATTTTAACTCATAGTGATCCTACAGGACAGAGTAGAAGTGCCTCATCGGGGTTTGACTATCTCCATTATTCTAGAAGATGTGGGGAGGTTATATGCCTTGATTCATGTAAGGACTTGAGCATCCCTGGATTTTTGGTGCCCAACTGGATGGGCGGGTCTGGTCTTGACCTAACTGAGGGGTGACTGTACTCGTCCACTGCTGTTTAGTTGGTTCCAACTCGTAATGACCATTTAGGATGGAGTAGAACTGCCCTATAGGATTGTCAAGGCTTTCAGTCTGTTTCTGATGACCTTGGGGTCCAGCCTCTGCCTTCTTTTGGGCAACACTAAGGGAACAAGCTGGGCTCCAGTGCGTATACTATCCCCATCTCCTCCTCCCCTTGCCAAGCCCTGATCGGGGCCCTACCTTCTTGCTTTCCTTACCTGGTTCCCCTTTAGTGTCTAGTCTTGATCCAGTCTGTAGCTCATGATAGAAGCCCTGAATGGCTTAGTGGATATGCATTGGGCTGTGATCCCTAAGGTCAGCAGTTCCAAAGCACTAGATGCTCCATGGGAGACAGATGGGACTTTCTACTCCCATCACAATGTCAGAAACTCAAGGGGACAGTCCTACCCTGTCCTACAGTGAAATTTTATAGGTAATTATGTGTAGTCCTGTAATGGGCTTTGTTTAAATGCCATTGACCCCTAACTCCCAGTATTAGCCTCTGTAATTTGATCTGGATCT